GTCTGTGAATGAAAGTTTTGGTGAGAAAGATAAGTAGTATGAGAAAGCTGTTTTCAAATACTCCCGATACATGGCATTGCCGAGCCCTTTGGATTGTAAACCAGTTGTGATTAGTAGTGCGGCTGGAGAGGATTACTAAGGAATTTTGTTTTACTGAAAAATCAACTTTTTCTACATAGTCTTCAGAGTTATTTTTGTGCACAGACTATTGTCTTGTTAATATACTTGTGTTCAGTTTTTCCCCAATGTTGAACATCAGGGTTTCCAGTTTTCTCTACTCCAGATTGCATTGCAATGAATATTTTTCATAACTTCAGGGCACCTGGGTGGCTCAGTGTCCTGGGATCGAGCCCCGAGTGGGGCTCTCTGCTCAAAGGGGAGTCTGCTTCTCCCTCTCCCTCTGTGCTTGCTTGCTCTCTCCCCCCTCTCTCCCTCAAGTAAATAAAATCTTAAAATATTTTCATAACTAAATGCTTAAAACCTTTTTCAATTATTTCCTCAGGGTAAATTGTGAGGAGTAAAACTTTAGGTCAAGAATCTAAATACTGTAATTGCTCTGATACATTGTTTTCCTACACCTGCACATGTATCAATTTGCATTGCCAATGATAGTATTAGAATGCCTGTTTCCCTACAAATTGATAGCCCCTCTTTTTTTTCAGATTTGAGAGAGAGTGGGTGGGGGAAGGGGGGAAGAGGGAGAGAGAGAATCCCAAGCAGACACCCTGCTGAGTGTAGATTTCCCCACCGTATCTCACCACCCTGGGGATCATGACCTGAGCCCAACATCAAGAAGCCAACTGAGCCACGCAGGTACCCCAGCCCATTCATATTTTAACATTTATAGTCAGCCTTGGTTGTTCCTTCGCAGATTTTCCTTTTTTTTTTTTTTTTTTTACTAAGGCTGTGCTCCATTTGGCACTGTTAGCTGGTACATTTTGTAGACATAACTCTAGTAGCTTTAGACTTGCTGATGGTACTAACTAGTTCCTGATTTCCTCTTCTCTAGAATCTTTTACAATTTGGGATTTTTTTTTTTCCGGTATAATTTCTCTCAAAGGTGTAACTGATGGCCACCTTCCAGTCCAAACCTATTGTAATCTCCTGTCAGGCGGCCAGATGCCTGGCAATCAGCTGGCGATTGTTCATTCAGTAGCTAATCCACATGGATTAGAATTCTAATCCAGAACTTGGATTAGAATTCTCTAAATACTAATGGGTCTTCTCTTTCAATGGCTTATTTCTAGGGCCCGAGCTCATCATAACTGACAACATAGATTAGAACCGCTACGTTGCAGGTGGTTGGGGAGTGGAGTATTATGCGGGAATTAACTGAAAATTTCTGTCAAGTTTTATCTACACAGGATTCTAATAGCATAGTCAACACCTGGAATGAATGTCTGCTTCATAAATTACCGAGTTTTTTTTTTTTTTTCCTTGATGAAAGCACAGGATACTGGGGGAGATGTTTACACAGAAGTCGAATTCTTTGGTACTTGTTGATACCAAACAGTTCAACTTAAAAAGATAAACTGCTAGGGGCGCCTGCCTTCGGCTCAGGTCATGATCTCCAGCTCCCCGCTGAGCAGGGAGCCTGTTTCTCTGCCACTACCCCCCGCTCTTCTCTCTCTCAAATAATAAAATCTTTAAAAAAAAAAAAACAATTCTGTTATGATGACTTCATTTACAAACTCCGTTTCAAAGTACCGAACTGGATGATGACGCCAGCTGAATCTAGGAGATAGAGTATCAGCTGCGGCGCGGAGGCGAAGCCCCGGGCACCGAGGGGGAGCCCCGCCGTCCCCCGTCCCACGCTCTCCACCCGCTAAGGCCATCGTGGGGGCGGGAAACTCCCCAGCGTTCCCGGCCTGCGGCCCAGCCCGCAGGGCCCTTCTTGCTCCGCGCGCCAGCTCTCGCCCGCCTCCGAGCCCAGGTCCCCGCGCGGCGGAACGGCGAGCCCAGCCCGGGCAGCGGCGCGGCGTGGGAGGCGGAGGGCGGGGCGGCGGCAGCAGCCAGCCCCGGGGGCCCGCGAGGCGCTGAGGGCGCGGGGGGGGGGGGGAACAGGCGGGCGCCGGGGCCTCAGTGTCCGGCGGAGGGGGCGGCGCCGCTGGCGTCTCCGTGACTGCGCCTCCGCGCCCCCCGGCTCGGCAGCTCCGGGGATGCGCGGAGGCGGCGGCGGCGATGGCGATGATGCCTCGAACCCGGCCTCGTCCCGGGCGGCGGGCGGAGCTGGGGTCCGGGCTGCGAGATGGAGGAGGGGGGTGGCGCTGCGGCCACCGGGCAGGTGAGAGGCCGCGGGCCCCGGAGGAGGACGCCCCCGCGGGGGCCGGGAGGGCCGGGCCCCGGGAAGCCGGCGGGGTAGGAGGAGCGCGGCTGCGCTGCTCCAGGCCGGCCGCCGCGCACCTGCCCTGCCGGCGCGGCCTGCGGGGAAGCCATCTCGCCCCCACCTGGCCGGCTCCCCGGGCTCTGCGGGGCCGCGGAACCCGTTGCCCACTGCCCATTCTCCGTCTGAGCCCTCCGCACCCCACCAAGCCTTCTGCCGATTCTCTTACAAGCTTCCTGCTCCGGACTAGGCCCTCCTTCCCTTCCGCACCCCGGGGAGCGCCTATCCACCGCCAGTCCCTGGCTAGGTAGGGCCGACCTCCCCTCCCCCGAAGCCTCGCTCTCCATCCCCAGACTGGGGGGCCTCCCTAGCCTCCTCATCTCCTTCATCCACTGATCCTACCCCAACCCGTCAGCTGCTCCGGGCTTCAAGAGGTGGTTGAACTGGGGGGGGAAAGAGCGTGGGCTCTGAAATCAGATAAATCTGGCTTGAATTTTAGTGACCTTGGGCAAGTCACCTAACTTCCCTGAGGCTTTTTTCCCTGATCAATACAAATACAATGGGGATAATAGTATAGAACCTTGCTCTCTGTGAGGGTTAGACTGTGAAAATGCCTGTCTTCGAGGAATTTAAGACATTATGAGAAGAAAAAAAAAAGGAGTTGGAAGAATCCAAGCCAGGAGCTAACTTGTAAAAGCTCCAAATTTTCATATGTAGTAAAATATTAAGGTAGCACACCAGATTTTTCACAGGCTCTTCCCACATCTTAGTGAGAAATCATGGCCACTGTACACAAATTTTCATTTACTATTCCTTGCTTACTAGTTACTTTAGGATCCCTCCTCAGTTGCAACAAGATGCACATAGATATGAATTTATTCTTATTGTGGCTAACATGTCTGCTGAAGACTGGTGTTCCAACTTAAAATTTTTCTGATTTTATGACTTTAATCACCTATTTATGGTGCTAGAAATAAAGAGCAGCTAGTGTGCTTGCATTGAAAAGAGCATTGGTACTATTTAGGAGTACCAAATAGGTATTCATTTACCACCCGCTCCCGGCGAATCACTGAGTTTTATAGAGCTACCATCATAACTTCGTTCGAAATTGTGATCTCAGCCTCCTCTTTCTTAGAAGTCCCAGCAGTGGGTTTACTTTTCCTTCATTTCCACCTTTGCTCCTAAAGTTTCTCTGCCAAAACCTTTATTTCTGTTCCGTGTTCTGCTTTTCCTTTTCTTCCCAGCCTCTCATTGCTTTCTTTTTTCCTAATGATCCAATAGGAATGATTTGTTTTTTATTTTTTATTTTTTTAAAGATTTTATTTATTTATTTGACAGAGAGAGACACAGAGAGAGAGAGGGAACACAAGCAGGGGGAGTGGGAGAGGGAGAAGCAGGCTTCCTGCGGAGCAGGGAGCCCGATGCGGGGCTCGATCCCAGGACCCTGGGATCATGACCTGAGCCGAAGGCAGACGCCTAATGACTGAGACACCCAGGCGCCCCAGGAATGATTTATAATTACTTAATGCCACAACCATAATTATCAACCTTGCCTAGAAGGTACATAGAAGTGTGTGTGTGTGTGTGTGTGTGTGTGTGTGTGTGTTCGTTCATATTTTGAGTTCCAGGAACTTAGAGTTGGGAAGGGATTGTACATAGGATTGTACTGAGTGTGAAGTAAAGCTTGATAAAGCTTCTGTTATGTACGTTAACCATCCCATAAATGAAGGCTGCTGTAACTATCTTCTGGCCTGTGGACTGTCCTGATCTCTTTGTCATTATGTTGAGTTGAACCGAGTGGTGCCCAGTGTCAGCTGTAGAGAGTACCTGCTTAGCTTCAAATCCATGCCCTACCCTGCTTTAAATTAGGAGCTCTCTCTCCAACTCAGTTTCCTTATGTGTAAAATGGGGATGAGTTATACTGTCTCAGGGTTGTGAGGATTCAACAAGTTAATAGCATGGAGCATTGAAAACAGTGCCCGGCATGTCATAAGCATCAACAAAGTTAACATACTATTAATGATACTGATAATTATATTAATGACCTAGAATTCTCTTTTTAAAAAAATCTGAAATATCTTAAATACATTGAAAAAATTATAACTGTGCAGAAAGTGGAAGTTGGTCCTCAGCTCCACCAAATCTTTTTTTTCTCCTGCCTCTTATTCTTGACTAATGTTGGTGCCTCTCCCCCTTGACAGTTCTGTTTCCAAATATCTCCTAGCCTGGGATCTCCATAATTTCCACCACCCCACTTCTTCATTACCACCCACCTACTCGATATTTCTCTTAGCATCAATTCCAGATGCTTCATTCTTCTAATTTCCCAAACCAAATTCCTACTTCTATCTTCACCCCTGTTCATTTCCCTGCCTCCAAAGAGGAAACCCTTCTGGGGCAGGGGGTTTGCTAGAAACAGTAGTATCACCTCTCTGCCTTCCTGCCTCCTCAAATTGAGTTTTCTTTGCTACTTCTCTTTTCATCAGCTAATCCCAATCCTCCAGTTAACAATGAAAAAAGAAACAGTAAAAGGTTGTCTTTTTTACTACATAGCTATCAAAAAGGGTTCAGAAGCAGGCACATGGTCTTTAAGTGAAAACAGTAAGCTTTCTATTATTTTTTAATTCTAATCAAGAAACAAGAGGTCGAGATTTATATTTTTCTCTCACAGAACTTTTATAAGGAAAGTACAGAAAAGCTGGTCTCCCTTGCCAGTGGAGAACTTCATCATATTGTCGGGATCTTCACTGTTTGACCATTGAGAATAAAGAAGAGGCCATTTTCTTCCTTCATAAAGAATATCCATTAGATATATGGACCCACCCAGGATTGAAATTTGTCCACAAGCTACTGAATGCAGAGAGACTTCTGTTCGGGTGGTTCAGACCTGATGCTCAGAGCCCCTAGGAATCCCGCATAGACCTGGCTCCCCTTCCTCTCTGCCCCATGATCCAGCAACTGAAGGGTTAACCCCTGACACAGCTGGAGGCCTCTGGGACCCATTTGGGGCTGGTGGTTAAATATTTGGAACCATCACCCCTGGACCTCCCCAGTGCCTTTGCTTATTCCTAAAATGCTGGATTCAAGCAATACCTTTGTATTGTCAAGAGCATTGCACCAGTCTCTAAGGAACAACTTCAGCTCTCCCACTGGAAGCTTCTTTCAGAGCAGAGTGGGCATCTGGCCACACGGGCCTTTGGGATTTGGAACAACCCAAGATGTGTGAGTGAACTTTAAATCTCACTGAAAAAAAAAAGTTTAAGGGAATAAAGAGCAAGAAGAAAAAAGTTATTCTTTTAAAGCGGAGGCTAGGTCTTACTCCTCTGCCCGCAGGACATAGCATAGGGCTGGCATAGAGTGTGCACATGACAAATGTAAACTGAGCCAGTGGATGCGTGGGTGGGGTGTTCCTCCTGCTTCAGCGTGAGGATATTGCTGTTGGAATAATAATAACTTACCTTTGTACAGCAGCTGAGAATCGACAGGTGCTTTGCACCTCGTAAATCTCAGATATAATTGACTCCCATCAATGCTTTCATTTTTTCCTCTCAAATACAGTCCACAAAGTGTTTTCCAAAGGAAGATAGGGAGTTGGCCAAGAAATTACCAGCAGGGAGAAGAAATTATAAATAATGGAAAACAAAGGCTTGTTCCTAGGGAAAGAAATAGGATTTGTTAGTGATTTGTGGGGGCCACAGTATACTTCAGCAATACCCTCCGGCTTGTATCTCAAGCACGTGCTGTAAGAGCGACTCCCGTCCTCCCAGCCTGTCTTCCTCCCTGTCCCTGCCCCTCCCCCCACAGCGAGCTCCTCGTCACCGCCACTCCCTTCAGCCTCCACCCCAGGGTGGATTAGGTTCCCCTCCTCTTACTTCCACAGCACCCTGCTCTCATGTGATTTACCACATTAGGCTATAAGTAGGGTGAGATCTCTTTGGTGGAGAAGTTATGTTCTTGGATCTCCCATGTGAGGCACTGGGAGTATTTCTAAAAGTAACATTTGCTTACCCTTCCATCAGAAAAAGGTGGGGCCCAGGAATCTGGTTTTTTTTAACCCGCTCTCCAGGTGACGCTTAAAGGATTTTGCAAACCGCTATGCCGGGAAACCTGAAATTATACCTGGAAGAATGTACTTTGAGGTGTTTGTGTCTTTTTGGTGTTGGGCCTCGTGAGGAGAAATGCTTTCTATGCGTCGGGTCAGAGCTAAAAAACTCCAGTCCTTTTGTACAAAATCCTGAGATCACTCTGCTTTCTACATTAATTCTGTTTCTGGGTGTGCATTTCTGTGTGCAGGCTTCTCTGCCCCGGGGCTCTTGTGTCACATGTGGCACAGCTGTGAGTCGAGGCCCTGACCCCCTTCCCCCAGAAGGAAGAGTCCTTCCTGTCTGAAGATGAACTCCACGGAGCCCCTTGAGGATGCTCCCAACGGCACGTTGCTGCGCGCGCCTCGCTCCCAGGGAGGAAACAGCACCGCCATCCCGGGGGACCTCCAGCACCTCATCCACACGGCCACTCTGGTCACCTGTACTTTCCTGCTGGCGGTCATCTTCTGCCTGGGCTCTTATGGCAACTTCATTGTCTTCTTGTCCTTCTTTGATCCAGCCTTCCGCAAGTTCAGAACCAACTTTGATTTCATGATCCTCAACCTGTCCTTCTGTGACCTCTTCATCTGTGGAGTGACGGCCCCCATGTTCACCTTCGTGCTCTTCTTCAGCCCCGCCAGGAACATCCCAGACGCTTTCTGCTTCACCTTCCACGTCACCGGTTCGGGCTTCATCATCATGTCCCTCAAGACCGTGGCGGTGATTGCCCTGCACCGGCTCCGCATGGTGCTGGGGAAGCAGCCCAATCGCACTGCCTCCTTTCCCTGCACCGTGCTTCTCACTCTGCTTCTCTGGGCCACCAGTTTCACGCTGGCCACCCTGGGCACGCTGAAAACCAGCAAGTCCCACCTCTGCCTTCCCATGTCCAGTCTGACGGCCGCAGAAGGAAAAGCCATTGTGTCTCTGTACGTGGTGGACTTCACCTTCTGCGTGGCCGTGGTGTCGGTCTCCTACATCATGATTGCGCAGACGCTGTGGAAGAACGCTCAAGTCAGGAAGTGCCCCCCCGTAGTCACCGTGGATGCTTCCAGACCGCAGCCTTTCATGGGGGCCCCCGGGAAGGGAGGCGGCGATCCTGTGCAGTGTACCATGCCGGCTCTCTACAGGAACCAGAATTACAACAAGCTGCAGCACATTCAGACCCACGGATACACCAAGAGTCTTAACCAGGTGCCCCCCCCGGCAGCCAGCCGGCTCCAGCTCGTGTCGGCTGTCAATTTGTCCACGGCTAAGGACTCCAAGGCGGTGGTCACCTGTGTGATTATTGTGCTGTCCGTCCTGGTGTGCTGTCTCCCCCTGGGGATTTCCTTGGTGCAGGTGGTCCTGTCCAGCAATGGGAGCTTCATCCTCTACCAGTTTGAACTGTTTGGATTTACCCTTATATTTTTCAAGTCAGGATTAAACCCTTTTATATATTCTCGAAACAGCGCGGGGTTGAGAAGGAGAGTGCTCTGGTGCCTCCGGTACGTCGGCCTGGGTTTTTTCTGCTGCAAACAGAAGACTCGACTTCGAGCCATGGGGAAAGGGAACCTGGAGGTCAACAGAAACAAATCATCCCATCACGAAACAAACTCCGCCTACATGTTGTCTCCAAAGCCCCAGAAGAAATTTGTGGACCGGGCTTGCGGCCCAAGTCACTCGAGGGAAAGTGTGGTCAGTCCCAAGATCTCTGCTGGGCACCAGCCCTATGGTCAGAGCAGCTCAACCCCCATCAACACCCGCATCGAACCGTACTACAGCATTTATTATAGCAGCCCCTCCCAGGAAGAGAGCGTGCCGCCGAACTTACCGCCAGTAAACTCTTTGGGATTTGCCAATTCCTATATTGCCATGCATTATCACACCACTAATGATTTAATGCACGAATACGACAGCACGCCGGCCAAGCAGATCCCAGTGCCCTCTGTGTAGTGTCCTGGAGGCTGGAGACTCTTGGGCAAACCGTTGGTGTTTCGGGTACTAACTGATTTCTTTTTCATTTTCGTGAGACCAGCGGTAGATGAAAACATCAAGATTCAGCAGAACAGTTGGCAGTTATGATCGTCTTCTGTCTCAAGTATTGGCATCTACTGATTTGCTTTGTGGTTTCCTGACATTTTAAGATTTGATGTAAAAATTTATAATTTAGCTTTTTACCCTGACCTGTGCTCCGATCTTTGATACTAAACTTTTAAATAGATGCCAGGAATGATCATGCTAGTGTATTCAAGGAGAATGAACGGATTGTGACCATTTGAGTCCGTGTTCGGGGTCTTCAAAGTACACCTGAGCTGGATTTTTTAAACAATGTGAAGGGATGATCTTCACTGAGGTGAATTTTTTTATTAATTGAACTATAAATTTTGATTCTTTGAAGTGTTCAAATGGGGAACAATACACTTTTTTTGGTAGCAGGTTTATCTGAATAAATAATCTATTGTCAAAGCAGAAAATCAGAAATATATTCTCGGTAATTACTTACCCAGGACACACACAGGCTTTAGGTACTTTGCTTTCCTAAGACAGTCCACCAAGTATTATGATTACTACCATTTCTTATGATAGACACTATTACTTTGTGGGAATTGACTAGCTGTATCATTCGTTTTTTTTTTAAAGAAATATGTTTTTGCTTGCTAAAAATGAATTATTCTATTTTGGAATGAGCTTACCCAAGAATCCTAGTGAAGAGAACTGCACTTGTAGTAGAGGAATGTGATTTCTCGGAGCAGAAGCACTAACTGGGGTCCTCTGAGCCAGGGTATGGAGATGTGGGGAGCAATCTGGACTGCTGTTGTGTGTTAGATGATCTTCATTACTGCTTAAGAAGGTGTGAGAATGAGATTGGGAGTATTCTGATTTACACGTTCCTTCTGTGTGAGGATGATTTGCTAACAAGCTGACAGAGAGTATCCAAGTAACTATTTAAAAATATTTTTTTTTCTTTGTTTAAATATCACTGCGGTAGAAAAATTTTTAAGATTATCTGTTTGCAAACTAATTGTTTTATTTCTCTCCCATTAATCTTGGCGACAGGCAATAAAGAAAACTAGATTACATATTTCTATACCTGGAACTAATTTTATGGTCTACTCTGTGATTCCTAGCATAACAACCATAAATTCATATTTTTATGTAAAAATATTTTCATTGTACAGTTAGCTTTTGAACTTGCTACAATTTTGGAACTATAGCTGTTAGACTCAAGATGAGCATCAAGATCCAAAACTAGCTTTAGAAATTGATATATTTCAGAGCTGTTACTGCAGGTTGGAAGGAGCTTTGTTGTTTTGGGTGAAAGGGATTCAATGTAGAGCTCCCTCTCCAGGCTGTTGCCAAATACAAGAGCGCCCCGAGTTGTAGAGAAGACAGTAGATGCTCGGCTGGAGCTCTGCACAGCCTCATCCAACAGCCGCCTTCCAGCACCGACCAGTCATTCTGTTTGTGAGGCTTAAGTATGAGATATGGGTTTTATTTTATTTTTAAATTCACCTTTTAGGACTTTGTCCTTCCCTTCCTTCTCTCCTTTTTTCCTTTAGTTTTGCTATTTAAATTTTCTAACAGAAGAGAAAATATCCACTCTGTCACATTTTTTTTCTTGTTTGTAATTGAATGCTATTTTTGGAAGTCACTATAACCTATTTCAATTATGCTTTTATATTTTTAATACAACACTGTTTCCATTTATTAATACTCCCATGAGATAGGTTAGTATATTACCCCTTTTTAATAAAGAACTAAGAAATCTAATATCCTCTCCCAAGATCATTTGAAGATAATTCTAATTAGGAATTAGACTTTTGTCTAAATTTAGAAGTGGGAATTTATTCCAATAAGCCAAACAGCATTATAATTAATAAGATTAATCAAGAAGATACTTCATACTTTTTAAGGTATGTATCTCTTTTTTGGCTAGGCATTTCCAGTGTGATTCAATAAAAGATTTTTTAAAAGTAATTTCTACTTGTAAAATTTGAACTGACAGGTTTCTTGTATGACCTTTGAGTTTGAGATGACCCATCTTTGGGAGGTAAAAGTTATAATATAAAGAAAAGTAAGCATGCGTATATGAGGTATTCAGTCTCTTTATGCTCATCAAGAAATTGCTGATTTAACTTGCATGAAATACATGTTGGGCTAGATTCTTAGCCCTCCTTCACATCTATCTCTACATCTGTGTGGAGATACAGAGACAGATAAAACTTATCTCTTTGTAAGTTATATATGTCTATCTGTAGAGGGAGATATGGATAGACATATATAACTTCTCTATAAGGGCTATATTGAGAACTAAAAATAATGAGAATTCAGTTGAATATGACTAATTATTAGCAGGGTATATTAATTAGTTCTCTTGATGCTTTACTGTGATGCAAAGTGTGTGATGTATTTCAAACATTTTATAATAGTTCTGATGTTAACCTTTAGGCCAGATTTGTATTTCTGATGCTTTTAATGTTCTTTTAAAATAATGTTTGGAAAATAAAAATATTGAAAACCCTAACATTTCTGAACATCAGATTGCAGTACTATTACTTTCCCGTCTAATCATTTGAAAACCATCAGAGAAAAGTAGTGATGGTTATTGCACAATGGATAAAAATATGTTGACCCTCAGCATTTTCTTCCTTAAGAGATGAAATAATTGTGGGTTTTTTGTTTTAATTTTTTTTAAAGTAAGCTCTATGCCCAATGTGCCGTTCAAACCTACAGTCCTGAGATCCAAAGTCTCATGCTCTACCGACTGAGCCAGTCAGGTGCCCTGAGTCCCCAGGATCTCTTCAATGGTTCCAGAGAGTTCTCTGGCTCAAGATCAGCGCTGCATCTGCCAGGCAATATTGATGATCTCATCAAAAGTGGTGTTTCCACTGTGTTTAATGTTTTCTTGCTTCTTCCTGTCTTTTGGTGGTCCCTTGAGGGCTTTGATAATCAGGGCGGAGGCAGAAGGTACCACTTCAATCTGGGCCTGTCCGTTCTGAATGGTCAGTTTCACTGTAATCCTCAGACCCTTCCAATCTCTGGTTCCCGTGGCGATGTCATCACTGATCATTTTTGGAGACAGACCCACTGGGCCGATCTTCGGGGCCAAGGCAGACATGGCACCGACTTCCCCACTTGTTCACCTCAGGTATATGACTTTGATCTCGCTGGGGTTAAAAATTTTAGGCAGCATGGTGGAGGTGGCTGGTTTTGGATGAACTCAGATTCAGGATGACCAAAGACAGTTGTACCTTCACCTCCTCCAAGCTAAAAGCCAAAAGCAAAAATGCGTATCCTAGAATTGGTAATCTATATGAGGTGTATAAGCTGGGGAGAAAGCTCAAAATTACAGTCCCTTGATAGATAATTTAAGGATCCTTCTTTGAAACCAGTATTTTTTTTTCAAAGATTTTATTTATTTGACAGAGAGAGACGCAGCGAGAGAGGGAACACAAGCAGGGGGAGCAGGAGAGGGAGAAGCAGGCTTCCCGCGGAGCAGGGAGCCCGATGTGGGGCTCGATCCCAGGACCCTGGGATCATGACCTGAGCAGAAGGCAGACGCCCAACGACTGAGCCACCCAGGCGCCTCTGAAACTAATATTTTGAGTAGTTTCTTGGCTAGCAACTCTACATCCGGGAGCAATGTCCTCCTAAGATTCCAGGTGGGAATTCTTTCACAAAGTGGGAAGGGGGCAGTAACAGATGGGCGGTGGTGAAGAAAAAGCAGCACGAGGTCCTGCAGAGTTAAAGCACAGGAGCCTTTTCCTTTTTTTTTTTTTTTAAGATTTTTATTTTAAGTAATCTCTACACCCAACGTGGGGCTTGAACTCACAACCCCAAGATCAAGAGTCCCATGCTCTTCCAACTGAGCCAGCCAGGCACCCTGGTACAGAAGCGTTCTTAAACAGCTCAGTTTTGGGGTCCTAAGAATGAGCATCTGTAAGCCTCCCTTTTTCATTTTCCAGTTATTCACACCCTAGTTCAAAGATTTCCACTCTAGGCCACTAGCAGCACTTCTTGGGTGCTGGCAGTCTTGGGTTCCTGTCCAGATCTGACTTGTGATTATAGCTCATTCTTAAATAATTCTCCCGTAATCTAGCCAGGCCAGGTCATGGAGTCTCCCCTTTCAAAGCCACCCTCTTCATTCACAGTTCAGGGGCAATGTGTACCTGGTGAGATTTTTGACTCCCAGAGAGACCTGTGTTTTCTCCCGTATCCACTAAAAGCTTTGTTTTTCTTTTCCATTAACAAAAGAAGCCTATGGTCCCACCAGAGGAACTTGAACCACCATTCTCCTACTGGAGCTGAAGGAAGGCCTAGAGTCAGTGAATATCCCAGGCCTATGGAATGGTAAGAGAGACAGGCAGGCTGCCAGGAAAAGGCTCATCTCCATTAGAGATCCAGGCTCTAGAGAGGCCAGGCCAGGCCTGGACCGAGCCTAGAACACAAAGTGGCAAACTTCACCATCTGGAGGACTCTGCTGGTGCAGATGACTGCCGGCTGAGCTTCAGTGGGCTCAGCCCAGCTGCACTGGCCCAAATGTGATGAGATGCAGGAGAGCCAAAGTCACTTACGGGAGCAAACACAATGACCCCTTGAAGCCAGATGGAGTAATCTTTGAGAGGCTGAAGAAGGGAAAGGAGGAGCAGGAAGATAGTAAAATAGCCCCCTATTCCCTCCCCCCGCCTCTAAAGATGGAACTGTAAACTGAGAAGCAGGTGCTGGTAGTAATTTTGATGATTTTCCATCTTCTGGCTTTCCATACCATTTAAATGCTAATGACATTCAATTTTATATCTCTAGTCCTAACCTCTCCCTGAACTCCATGCTGGTCTATCCAATTGCCTCTTCAACATCTCCACTTGGATGGCTAATAGGCATCTCAAATTTTAACATGTGCAAAACTGAACTCTTGATTCAACCCCACTCTTTACCAAACTTGGGGCTCCTGCTGTTTTATTATCTCAGTAAATGGCATGGCAATTACCCAGTTGCACAGCTCAATATATTGGGTCCTTAACTATTTCTCTTGAACATCCCATTCAATTCGTTGGGGCAAATCCTGAATTATCTTGAAAATAAACTCTGAATCCAACTACTTTTTTTCTTAAGATTTTATTTATTCATTTGAGACACAGAGATACAGAGAGAGAGACCATCAGCAGGGGGAGAGGCAGAGGGAGAGGGAGAAGCAGGCTCCCCGCTGAGCCAGGAGCCCGATGCGGGGCTTGATCCCAGGACCTTAGGATCATGACCTGAGCCGAAGGCAGACGCTTAACCATCTGAGCCACCCAGGCGCCCCTGAATCCAATTACTTTTTAGCTCTTCATCCCCTTCCCCTCTAGCCCATGTGCCCATCATTTCTCACTCGGAGTATGAAACCCGCCTCATAGCCATTTCCCAGCTTCCAGGCTCTCTCTTCCTGTCGTCTTCCTGCTTTGTAACTAGGGACACTGCAGGTAAATCATGTTTGCCACTCTCCTGATTAAAACTTAGAACAACATCTGAACTCCTTGCCCAGACCTGTGTGGCCCTAATGTTCCGGCCCTTGGTTTCCTCTCTGTCCCTGTTTGCTTTCACTTGCACCCTACCTAATATGCTTGGGATGCAACAAGCTTTCTGGCTCTTTCTCACATGACTCAGTTTTGTTCCCATGTCAGGGAATTAATTCCCCCAGAAATACTTCAGCCTGGAATGGTCTTCCCCACTGGCCTTTCCTAGTTGCCATACTCGATAGAGTTCTCACTCCATCACTGTCTATCCTTCTGCCATATTTTATTCTTTTCATGTTTCCTATCATTACTCAACATTATGCTACTGTATGAGTCTGCTTGGGCTGCCATAACAAAATACCACAGCCTAGGTGGCTTAAGTAACAGAAATTTATTTCCTCATAATTCCGGAGGCCCGAAGTCCAAGGTCAATACGCCATCAGTGTTGATTTCTTGTGAGCCCGCTTTCCCCGGTTTGTAGGAGATCACCTTCTCATTGTGTCCTCACATGGCCTTTCTCTGTGCATGCAGGGAAAGAGAGGGGGTGCGGGAGGGAGGGAGAGTATTGGGGGTCGGGGGCTCTCGGGGTGTCTCCTTATGTGGACACCATTCCTATCAGATTAGGGCTCCACCCTTTTGACCTCATTTGCCCTTAATTACCTCCTTAAAATCCTTATCTGCAAACAGAGTCACATTGGTAGTTAGAGCTTCAAATATGATTTTTTTTGGGGGGGGGTGGGAGGGGACACAATTCAGTCCATAACAGTTATGTATAATTGTTTACTGGCTGTTTCCCCATTAGAATAAAGCACTAATAGGGCAAAAATTATGTCTATTTTGTGCAGCACTGTATCCCTAGTACCTCTCAGTCCTTGGCCTAGATGAGCTGTGAGGGTGTAACTGTTGAATGAATGAGTCAAATAGTAAATGATAGAATGGCTGAAGCCTGGAAGTGATATCAGCCCAAATCTCTATCTGGCTGGCTTAGTTTCCCCATGTTTGGTGTTTTTCCGTATCCCTCTCTACATTCCCAGGGTGGTTATCAGCAGGACTCTGATGAAAGGGGACACAGGTCTTAGGGGCGCCTGGGTGGCTCAGTCGTTACATGTCTGCCTTCGGCTCAGGTCATGATCCCGGGGTCCTGGGATCGAGCCCCACATCAGGCTCCCTGCTCCGCGGGAAGCCTGCTTCTCCCTCTGACCCTCCCCCCTCTCACGTGCTCTCTCTCTCTCTCTCTCATTCTCGCTCTCTCAAATAAATAAATAAAATCTTTTTGAAAAAAAAATAAAGGGGCCACGGGTCTTGATTTAGGATTTCTGACTGTTTCCTCAGGGAACCAGCTCTGAGGGCCTCTTTTCCCAGGGGACCACCCTGGCTGCCTAGGAGTGGCCAGACAACCTGCATTGATCTCACTGGAATTCTTTGGCTCATTATGCAGCCTGAGGACATTGAAGATGAAAGGAAAGTCTTCAGCAACCACAGAGAAGTTCAAGGAGAAAAGAGGTAACTGGTTCTTGTAGGGAGAGGAGGGAGAATACCAATTACCTTTATTAAAGGATATGGCAATTTGAAAAAAAAAAAAGATTGCAGATTTAGTGAAATCCTGCTTTCCATAAAGAGATAGTTCACAGGTAATCTCTCTAGGTCCAATGCCTTTGAGATTAATTTTGCCAAAGTAAAAGTATCACTTATGGAGAAATGAATGAATTTTCCCTCCTCTACTCCAGTAAACAGATAATTTTGCTTCTCTATAAATACACTTAGCTGGTGCCAAGATAAGTTCAGTTTGTTTCTCTGAGTTCCATTTATGTGAATGTTGGCCCTTTTGACACTTTCTTGAACCTCCAGCTGCTTGTAGCATGCTGATGAGTGGGAGATCTTTCATTCGACTCCCAGTATGGGAACCTTGATTTTCATGCAAAGCCTGATGTTTTACAAAATGCAGCTTGTTCAGATGCCAGATAGACCTTAAAAAGTGGAGCAATCTACAAAGACTGCTTTGTGCCTGTCTTCTGGGCCTGTGGCACTAGGTAAGTTTCAT